CCGATGAAGGCGTGCCTGCCCAAGGAGTGCTGGAAGGCGGGGCGGGGGGCGCCTGTCCACACTGGGAGGCCACATGCGAAGCCTGCCACATTCGGATGATGATGGTGATGACGATGATGACAACGACGATGATGATGATGCTGATGAGGAGGAGGAGCAGCAGGAGGAGCAGGATGACGATGATGATGATGATGATGATGATGAGGAGGAGGGGGAGGAGGAGGAGGAGGAGGAGGAGGGGGAGGAGGAGGGAGGGTGAGGAGGAGGAGGATGGTAGGTTCGTGTCGTGTCGACGTGGTGGTGCTCCGCCGCGGGCGTTCAAGGTTGAATGCTGCCAGTGGTCAGAAGCGAAGATCGTCGCGACACGAACCTAATGTGGGTATGGTCTTCTGCCACGGCTCTTCGGGCGGCGATGTGCGTCGCATTGCAGCGCGTGGCTCATCTGCGCCACTTGCGGCGCATTTCTGGTGGCTCGGATCCGACTGCCGGTCGCGACGCACAGTGGCGGAGGAAGGCGGGGAGGGGAAGGAAGCGGGGGCGCAGGGCGAGCGAGTAGAGAAGGGGAGGGAATTGGAGAGCCAGACTTGTTTTTCGGGCTGGCGGGGAGCTCGGGGTAGCGAAGAGGATGGAGGAGGAGATCGATCTGGGCCTCCCGTATGGGGTCCGAGCAGATTGGTTCGGAGGATCGCGCCGCATCGCCGATGCATCGGCGATGCGGCTCGATGTGGAGCCCGATTTCTCCATGCAGACGGTGCCGATGCATCGCCGACGTTGCCGATGCATCGGCGATGCGGCGCGATCCTTCGACCCCATCTGCTCTGGCCCCATCTAGGAGTCCTGTAACTGAGGGAGGAGGGAGGAGGGGAGCGAGGGGGGACTGAGAGGGAGGAACTCCTTGACCCTTGCCCCAGGAAGTTGTGACTTTCTCACAACGTTCGTTGACCCCCAGAGTTTTGAAACCCTTCCCCGCCAGTTGTTCGTCTCGAGTGGTTTCTTGACGGCCCCGGGGCCCGGCAAGATACCCTGGAGGTTGAGAATAGCGAAGATCTTTCCGTCGTGATCTTTTTCACAGCGCGAGGGGTTCTGAGGGGAGCGAGGGAGGGGAGCGAGGGGTCGCAGGTGAGCAATCTCCCCCAATTCCCGAGTTACACCAGAACAGTTTGGCCGCTCAGAAAAATGGGGGAAACCCTGGGATGTACCCCAAGGGGGCTGTTCGGACGCACCCCTATCGAGGATGGGCGCCCCCTCATCAGACATCCCAGGGTTGGGCCCCAAATTTCTGGTCCATTCGAAAACCCTTCGAAGCCAGGGATAGGGGTCGACACATTCCCTGTTGAGGACCCCTCTTGGGGGGACCCCTGCCCCGGAACTGGCCCGTTGTCCTAAGCCGTTCCCGACGGCTCTGGCGCCCGAGGCGGGGCCGTCCGAGGTCGACGGGAGTTGTGGAACAACAAGGGGCTCACCGAGAGCGTTCCCGTACTCACAGTGCCTGCTCGGGTTTAGGGTTTAGGGTTTAGGGTTCACTGAGCGCGTTCCCGTACTTGAAGTGCCTGCTCGCAAACGTCAAATTATCCTGGCGACGGACCCAACCACATGCAGCTGTGGGTACCGCAATTGTGGATATTGTAGTGGCCTTCGGCCAGTGCCGCCGATCCGGGGCGCTCCGACTGATGTGATCCTTCTTCGCCCTCGTCCCTCCTCTCTTTTTCCCTCCCCTCCTCTCACTCAGCATTTATCGAAGACGCCTACGGCGAATCACCGCCGCCCCCTGCCTTTTTGGAAACGCCGATGTGGCCGAAAGTTGGACTAGAGCTTGGCCAAGCTATCGGACCATGAGTTCCCCGAGTCGGTTTGGAAAGCTTTCGGGGAACACATGGGAGAGAATGATTATGAACAGGAAGAGGAAGAGGAAGAAATAGAGTAGGAGGATGAGGGTTGTTAGGAGTCTCTTGGGGCACCCTTGGGGTCTGTTGGGGGCTTCTTGGGGGCCTCTTCGAGGCCTCTTGGAGGCATCTTGGGGGCCTCCTTGGGCCTCTTGGGGGCCTTTGGGGGCTTCCTGGGGGTCTCTTTGGCCGTCTTAGGGCGTTCCTGGTCCGTCTGACGCCGTCTGGAGCCGTCTTGGGGGCCTCTCTGGGCCGTCTTGGGGCCCTCTTGGGGCGCTTCAGGGCCGTCTTGGAGGCCATGTTGGGCGTCTTGGAGGCCTCTTGGGCCGTCTTGGGGCGCTCTTGGGGCCGTCTTGGGGGGCCCTTGGGCCGTCATAGGGCCTTCTTGGAGGCCTCTTGGGCGATCTTGGGGGCCTCTTGGGCCGTCGGAAGGCCGAAAAGAAGAAAACGCAAAAAACCTTCAAAAACCTAAGGAAAACCAATGATTTTGGCCTCTTCGGGCTCTCCTGGAGAACGTCTTGGAGGCCTCTTGGGCCATCTTGGAGGCATCTTGGGGCCATCTTGGCCGTCTTGGAGGGCATCTTGGGCCGTCTTGGAGGCATCTTGGAGCCATCTTACCCGTCTTGGAGGCCATCTTGGCCGTCTGGGAGGCATCTTGGAGGCCATCTTGGGCCATCTTGGCCGTCTTGGAGGCCATCTTGGGCCAAGTTGGGGCAACAAAGGCATTGACAGACGGATTTTGGGAAAATTACGGGTGGCCGGCGGGACGGGCCGAAGCCCATTGGGGAGTTCTTTTAGAAAAAGAACCAAAACCAAAACCTGAAACGTCCAGCACGCCGTGCACCCCTGCAAGCAGGGGGCGGCGGATCCAGTGGCCGTCGGCCTATCCCGCCACCGTGCGTGGGTGGTGGGTCAGAGGCCTCATGGATGCTGGTTGGGATCTCGTGGTTGGCTGGGACTTCTGGGGGCCTCTTGGGCGCCTCTTGGGGCTTCTTGGGGGCCTCTTGGGCCTCTTGGGGCCACTAGAGGGCCTCTTGGGGGTCTCTTGGGAGCCTCTTGGGGCTTCTTGGGGGCCTCTTCTGCGCCCCTTGGGGCCTCTTGGAGGCCTCCTCGGAGCCTCTTGGTGCGGGAGGGGTGGTACTCGAGTTCGGAACCCCCTCGGAGGCCACGATCCTTGTGAGGGGTGTCAAAAAACGCATCCGCCAGAAACTCGCACCCCCCCCCCCCACCCCACCCCCCCTTCCCCGGCAGAGCCACCCCGGCAACCCCCCCAGAGGCTGAGGCTCAGCCTCGAGGCTGTAGCTGAGACTCCTTGAAACTCACACGCCGGATCGGCGGATTTCCCAGCCATCCTGTGGTGTTGGGTCCTCGTTTTGAAGAGACAGCGCCCCGCGTCCCACCTCCTTCCTCCTTCCTCCTCCTCCCCCTCCCCCCTCCTCGCCACCCCCCCCTCCTCCTTCCTCCCCCTCCTTGCTTCGTTTCGTGGCCCCATAGGGAGCTCCCATAGGGAGTTGTGGAACAAAGCGAGGCTCACCGAGAACGTTCCCGTACTTCAAGTGCCTGCTCACAAACGCAAAAAAATCACGTGTTCGCCTCGTTGTCATGGAGCGTAAGTGCACCGCAGCAGATCCAGGCCACCTGCGAACGCGCTGGACCAGAGGCGTCCCGACCTGAAGGTCGGGCCGCCAGAGGTCCGGCTGACATCCCTCCTCCGTCCCGGGGGGGTCGTCCGGAGGAGGAGGAGGAGGAGAAGGAGGAGGAGTAGGAGGAGGAGGAGGAGGAAGAGAGGAGGATGAGGATGAGGAGGAGGAGGACAAACGCCACAGCGGTCACGCTTAGGTCGGTCTAACGTAAAAGGAGTAGGAGGAGGAGGAGGAGGAGGAGGAAGAGAGGAGGAAGAGAGGAGGAAGAGAGGAGGAAGAGAGGAGGAGGAGGATGAGGAGGAAAAGAGGAGATGAGGAGATGATGATGATGAGGAGATGATAAGACGAGGAGATGATGATGATGATGATGATGATGATGATGATGATGATGATGATGCTGATGCTGATGCTGATGCTGATGCTGATGCTGATGCTGATGCTGATGCTGATGCTGATGAGGATGAGGATGAGGATGATGGTGATGGTGATGGTGATGGTGATGATGCTGATGATGATGATGCTGATGCTGATGCTGATGATGCTGGTGATGTTGATGCTGCTGATGATGATGATGGTGATGATGGTGATGATGAAGATGATGATGATGATGATGCTGATGATGAGGATGATGATGCTGATGATGATGATGGTGGTGGTGGTGATGATGATGATCATGATGATGATGATGATGATGATGATGATGATGATGCTGATGATGCTGATGATGCTGATGATGATGATGCTGATGCTGATGCTGATGCTGATGCTGATGCTGATGCTTCTGATGATGATGATGATGATGATGAATGTGATGATGATGATGATGATGATGATGATGATGATGATGCGGATGATGTCGATGATGTCGATGATGATGATGACGATGATGGTGATGAGGATGATGATGATGATGATTCTGATGCTGACGATGCTGATGCTGATGCTGATGCTGATGTTGATGATGATGATTATGATGATGATGATGATGATGATGATGATGATGATGGTGGTGATGGTGATGGTGATGGTGATGGTGATGGTGATGATGAGGATGAGGATGAGGATGAGGTGGATGAGGAGGATGAGGAGGATGAGGAGGATGAGGAGGATGAGGATGAGGATGATGAGGAAGAGGATGTGGATGAGGATGAGGATGAGGATGATAATGAGGATGAGGATGAGGATGTGGATGAGGATGAGGATGAGGATGATGATGAGGAGGAGGAGGACGAGGGTGATATGATGATGATGATGATGATGATGATGATGATGATGATGATGATGATGATGATGATGATGAGATGAGAGGAGGAGGAGGAGGAGGAGGGAGGAGGAGAGGAGAGGAGGAGGAGGAGGAGGAGGAGAGGAGCAGGAGGAGGAGGAGGAGAAGGAAGAGGAGGAGGAGTCCGTTGGCGGCGCTGGTCGCTGGGCCAGGCGCGTGGAGAGCGAGGAGCCCTCCCCCCCCTTCCCCGAGGACATCGCCGCGCCGCCCATTGTGGCCCAGGCCCGCAGCCTCGAGCCGCAGGAGGCGCACCCTTCGTCGTCGCCGCTGCTGGAAAAGCAGGAATCGAGGCAGAATCGGGGAGGCGTAAGACCCGAATGCGCCGGAACTCGGGCTTGCCGGCGCTTCTTGACGAGCGCGTCCTGGGTTTCGACGGTCCAGTTCTCGTGGGAGTTCGCGTCAAGTTCAAGACTGGGTCTCGTCATTTTCATGATGGCCCCGTCAGGCCAACCCGATTCCCCCGAACCCGAGTCTCACGTCCCCCCGAAAGAAGGAAAGGCATGAGCGTAAATTCTTTCAGAGCTCCGAAGGGAATTCTTGCTCTGCGCTGAGGCCCCCCCCAGCGGCGCCTTCGCCGCACGCGGAGACCCAGAAGTCCAAGAAGTCCATGGGGGGGGGGCACTGCCGAGCCAAGAACTTTGCCCGGAGCTCCGAAAGTTAGGGTTACCCAGATCTTGTTTCTCTAAGGGAGCAGGCGACAGTGGAGTGCTCCTCCTCGAGAGTTCCTCCAGGTCAGCTTTGGCTTCGGCGCGCAGGGCGAGTCTGGGCTCCTCCTCCTTGCTCCTCGTACTTCCTCCTCCTCATCGGGAGGCGGAGGAGGAGGAGGAGCAGGAGGAGGAGGAGGAGGAGAAAAGGAGGACATTGTCATACGTGTTTTCGCGTGTCGATACGTTATTGGCTTTCCAATAGGATGATCCTAGTGCAGCGTTGGCCTCATTTCAGGGTCGGCGTTTTGCTCTCATCGTCCAGACTGGCGCGCTCGCCCGAGCGGGCCACATCTCTTGATTCGACTTCTTCCTCATCGTCTCCGCCCCCCCCCTCTCCCCTCCTCCGCCTTCCCCTGGTCCTCCTCCGTGCCTGAATTACTGATTATGCTGCTGCTGCTGCATCCCTCGTCCTTATAGTAGCTCATCCTTATCGCACCCCGAGACGTGTCGGTAGAGCGGGCTGGGCGTTTCGCTTGAGACGTCCTCACCAGAGCTGAATATGTGCAACAGCTTCACGGATGGAGGGGGGCGGTTTTCAAAATGATGATCTTACATCCGCGCACAATCGTTTTTTTAAGTTGGCATGCGTTTCGCGGATGGATGTTGGTTATGTTTGAACGTGTGGTTATTGCCTCAGCGCCGCGCACATTCGACTTCAGAGTTCCCAACAGTTTCAAGGGTTATCATGGTTGACGCCCCAGGAATGGTGGTTCGGCACGGTCCAGGAAAGTCAGGACGCAACAGTCATGTTGATTCGCGGTATTGAAGTTTCAGGAATGGTGTTCTGGCACGATTCAGGATCGTCAGGACGTAACAGCAACGTTGACTCGTTGTGTTGAAATCCCACGAATGGTGGTATGGCACCGTTCATGATGTTCAAATAGTTGTCTTCCAGCATGGCATTTTCCTCAATGAACATGGAACCTCGTAGGGACGTGAGAAGAGGGACTTTGGAGGTAGGGCTTCTTGCAAAATCGTTGATGAGTTTTGGATTTGCACTGGTCCTCCTCTTCACCCGCCTGTTCATCCGCCACCGCCTCCTTCTCCAGTATGCACAGCTCCCATTTCTGATTGCTCATCACAGGTCCGCCAAAGCAACCGCCAGCGGATAGAGGAAACTCTCAGCGCAATCGCAATGGGAATCCATGCGCTGGATGGGTAGTCTGTAGGATCTGGCACGCGCGCGCGCACCTAGCTTGCCAACTCGCTTTCTCTCTCCCTTCTCCATCCCCTCCGTCGCACTGGATCATTATCCACCTTCATCTTCCTCCCTCTTCAATCCCTTCATCCCGCCTTTCCCTCTCATCCTTTCTCCTCCCTCCTGCGCCCCTCATCCCTATCCCCTCCCTCCTTCCCTTCCTCCCCCATGCCTCCCTGTCCTCCCTGCCCATCCTTTTTCCCCCCCATGCCCACCTCCCATTCCAACTCCATTCTCTCCCTGCCTGTTGACCAGGGGGTCCAGAACCCTGATGGATTCGGCCAGGAAGTTGTCGCACAATCACGTTGTTTAGAATTCTGGTCGTGAGTCTGAGAGCCGTGATTTTCCACGAAGCCGGATGTCGGGTACGCGGAGTACGTGTTGGCGCGGCGCAGGAATGACCCAGAGAGAACCGCGAGGCAGACTTTGGCAAATGCCTGATGCTGGAGGAGGAGGAGAAATTGGAGGGGGAGGAGGAGGAGGAGGGGGAGGAGGAGGGGGAGGAGGAGGAGGAGGAGGCGGAGGAGGAGGAGTAGGAACAAGAGGAGGAGGAAGAGGAGGAAGAGGAAGAAGAGGACGAAGAGGAGGAAGAGGAGGAAGAGGAGGAAGAGGATGAGGGTGAGGATGAGGATGAGGGTGAGGATGAGGATGATGATGTGTTGTTGATGCTGATGATAATGATGATGATGCTGATGCTGATGCTGATGCTGATGCTGATGCTGATGATGCTGATGATGATGATGATGATGATCATGGTGGTGGTGATGATGATGAGGAGGAGGAGGAGGAGGATTCGGATGAGGATGATGCTGATGCTGATGCTGATGCTGATGATGCTGATGATGCTAGTGATTATGATGCTGATGATGCTGATGATGCTGATGATGTTGATGCTGCTGCTGATGATGATGGTGATGATGGTGATGATGAAGATGATGATGATGCTGATAATGAGGATGATGATGATGCTGATGATGATGATGGTGGTGGTGGTGATGATGATGATGATGATGATCATGGTGTTCATGATGATGATGATGATGATGATGATGATGATGATGATGATGATGATGATGATGATGATGATGATGATGATGGTGATGGTGATGGTGATGGTGATGGTGATCGTGATGGTGATGGTGATGACGATGACGATGACGATGACGATGATGATGATGATGATGATGATGATGATGATGATGATGATGATGATGATGAGGAGGAGGAGGAGGAGGAGGAGGAGGAGGAGGAGGAGGATGGTGAGGAGGAGGAGGAGCAGGAGGAGGAGGAGGAGGAAGAGGGAGGAAGCGGAGGAAGAGCGAGGCGACGTGAGGCGAGGCGAGGCAGAGGAGGGAGTGAGGACAAGGGGGCCAAAGAAGCTTTAGAAGGACGCGGCGAGCAGGCAAACACCTGCTTCTCGAGGACGAGTGGGGAGGGGGGCTGGGACGATGACTGGTGAGGGTAGATCAAGCGAAGGACTTGGGAGGAGGGAGGAGGACGGGGCAATTGGGGGGAGGAGGGTTGGGACGGAGAACGGAGGAGAGAGCGGCGGGTTCAAAGAGGGGGCCCGCGCCGAAGCGCGCTCGGGGCCCAGCGGCAAGCCCGTCGCGGCGGGGGGGGGGCTGGGCCCCGCCGGCCCAGGGCGCTCGAGCGGAGGCCGAGCGGAGCGGGGATGCCCGGAGGGAGGCCGAGACTCGTGCGGGTGGCAATTGGGGAGGGACCCTTCAGGGCCTTCTTCTCCACCGCCCATGTAGGTCACCCCCCCAGCACCACCCGCCCGAGAGACGGAAGCGTTCGGGGCCCAAGAGCCTCGGGCGAGCGGTAGTGGGGGGTGATCGCTCTTTGAGCCCGTTTCTTTATTGCTTGGGGCATGACGGGCGTCATGGCCCCCGCTCCCCCCCCCCCTATGACGTAACGCTCCCCCCCCCAGTGCGCTCCGGGCACTGCCGCCGTGCGCATTGGGATCCGCGTAGGTGTCTGCGTAGGAATCCGCATAGGTGTCTGGTCCGCAGGCGTCGTCGTCGTCGTCGTCGTCGTCGTCGTCGTCGTCGTCGTCGTCGTCGTCGTCCGTCGTCGTCGCTCGTGGTTCGTCGCTCGTCGCTCATCGTCGTCGTGCGCGCGGACGCGGCTGGAGCCTGTTTTTTAGTCCGGGCCGATGACGGCAATCATCTGGGGGGGGAGGGGGTCGATGACGTCACGTTTCGCGCCGGCGGCGTCTGGGAATGCTTAGGAATGACGGAGGACGGGTAGCACGAACATGTAGGTGGCGATATGCACCACAACGCCTGTGTACATCACAGTGCCCGCGTGCACCGCAGCGCCTGTGTACACCACACCGCCGATGTACACCACAGCAGCCGCGTGCAACACAGCGTCAGTTTGTGCCACCGTGCCTGCGGGCACAACAGCTCATTGCGTACACCACAGCGCCTCTGTACCCCACATCAGCCGTGCGCACCACAGCACCAGTGTACACCACAATGCATGCGTGCATTGCAGTGCCTGTGTACGCCACGGCGCCTGTGTGCACCACATCAGCCGTGTGCAACACAGCACCACTGTTGTGTATGGAGTTTCAGAAGAGATCCTCGTGACAAAATGGAGCGCGTGTGGATTCCACAGAAAACAATGGAAAACAAATCCTCATGGACAAAGGAGCGCCGCTGGAATCTACGATTCCCCCCGAGTCCGCCCGCATCACCCTAACTCCAATTTGCGTCCAGGAGGCTCCAGCTAAACTGGCCGTCCGAGAACCAAGTGGACCGATTCAATCGACCATTCTGCGGTGCACGCTGAGATGCGCACGTGCGTTGTAACGCCAAGCCACACGACAGGGGGTAAGAAGGAGGAAAAGGAGGAGGAGGAGGAGGAGGAGGAGGAGGAGGAGGAGGAGGAGGAGGAAGAAGAGGAGGGAGGAGGGACAAACGTCGCATTCGATTCCCATAATTTTCCCAGCGTGGCGGTTAGTTGTCCGCAGCTGATTTTGATGTACATGCTCCTTCTACCTGTCCTGTGCGCGCAGGCACTGTGGTGTACACCAGCGCTGCGTTGCACGCGGATGCTGTGGTGTAGACAGGCGTTGTGGCGTGCACAGGCGCTGCGGTGAACGCAAACACTGTGGTGTACACAGGCGTTGTGTTGCACATGGCTGCTGCGGTGTATGTACACTGGCGCTGTAGTGCTCCCAAGTGTTGTGGTATACACGGGCGGTGCGTTGCACACAGCTGCTGCGGTGTACGCAGGCGTTGTGGTGCACTCGCGCGGCGTGGTGCACGCGAGCGTTGTGGTGCACACAGGCGCAATGGGCAGATCGCCACTTACATGCTGCTCGCGTCGTCGTCGTCGCTCGTCGCTCGTCGCTCGTCGCGTCGTGCGCGCGGGCGCGGCTGTGGTGCCGGAGCCACTCGGCGGGGGGGGGGGCGTCACGTCATACCCCCCCCGCCCTCCCCCCCCGCGCCCCCCTATGACGCCCGTCATCGCCGAACATAAAGAAACGCGCTCTTTGAGGGGTGAAGACAAGGGCCCTGCCAGTGTCCCCTTCTCCACCCCCAATGTAAGTTGCCCCCCCATTGAACACTCACCCGAAAAACCTTGTGGTGACGGACCGTGTGGTGATCTCGGACCAGAATCCCCAACGACCTCATCGCGGTCCGTCACCGCACGGTCCCGAGACATCGAGGGCTTTGATCGCCCGAAACGTCCCCGCAAAACGGCCCGAGTCCCAAAACCGTGCGGTCACCCCGGACCCACGATGACTCACCACGCGGTGTGGTCGCCATACCGTCTGTGGGCACCCGAAAGAGGGTGATGGTCGAAGAAAAGGAGACAGCGTACATGTGAATGGTTGCAGCACCGCCAGGATGTCGTTGATCGGCGCTGGGGCCCCCTTGGCGGCGCCTCTGCAGCCCCTACAGGTCCAGAAGTCCAAGGAATCTAAAACATCTAAGCCGCCCCTGGTGCGCTCCGCGCGCCAGGGGGGGGTCCAGCGCCGATCCAAGTAAACCGCGCGGAGCTCCGAACAGTTCTGTTTATGCCGTGTTCTCCCCTGGATGGGGGGTGAATGCGTGTGCGAATACACCTCAGGCGATGCTTAAGAAAACTTAAATTTTCGGCCAGGGTCTCGATTATTCTTAATGTTTCAACGTAAATCCTAAGATTTTTTTAAAAAAATTGGGTTTTTAGTCAAGTTCTGAGACTATGAATTTCTGAACCCATGATTTCTTAAGCATTTCGCAGGGTGTAGATTCGTCTCGCTGTTGGACGCTCGGGCCACGTGGGCACAGCGCGGCGTGTCCAGCCTTGGAGCATGACGAAGAGCTGGTGCTTGCGGCCAGCAGCATGGGTGCAGCCTTTCACGCGGTCCGAGGTGCAGGCAGGGTCGGTCATGAGCCCCCGCTCTGAAAAGTTTGCGACCGTGTTTCGCATGGTGCTGTGGGGAGAAGATGTGGTAGACGGTGCGCACGCAGTGTCGTCGTCGTCGTCGTCATCCTGGGCTTGTAGGCCCGGAGGCGGGAAGAGGTGGGAGAAGTGGGGAGCGAGCGCGCGAGCCAGCAGCAGTTCAGGTGGGCGAGCGATCGATAGCTCAGAACCTGCTGGCAGAAGTGATGGCTACCGCCCAAGCAAGCGAAAGGCCGAGTGCTCGTTCTCTTATTCATTGTTTTGCCGATTGGCGCGGGCCCTCGCACTCCCCCCTCTCGCCACCCCCCCGCACAAAGTCGCATTAAGCAGAGGTCCGGAGCCAGACCCCCCCCCTCCTCCCCCTCCCGCCCAATATCGAAACGCCGAACAAGAAAACGTTCACTTTCTCGCCCTCTATCCCCGAGTTCCTCCTCCCGAAGAGCTGGCTGCTCAGAAAAGAGAGGGGGAGTTGGGGGTTACACCCCCAGGGGACTATTCCAGGGGATACACCCCCAGGGGATACACCCGCCCCCTCCCGCCCAGTGCCGAAGCGCCGAATCGGAAAACGTTGACCAAGCATGAAGTCGGGCACGTCCCTCTACAGGAGGAATATTCAAAAATAGAATATTCAATTACTCACTGCGTGGAGCTCCCCATATGTGCATCTCATGTTGTATGTCATGCCATAGTGAGCGTCTGTTCATGAGCGTTTGACTATAATAGCGCGTCCACGTGGGCGACAGGGCCGACGAAGACGAGTGAATCCTAATGCGAGTGAGTGAGTATGAGTCAGAGTGAGCTTTGAATATGATTGAATATGAGCCTCCCATTCGTTCCCCCTCCTCAGCTGCCAGGCCGTGCTGAAGCCAGCGCCCCGCTTGAGATGTCCTCAAAACCTGCTCTGAAAGCCAAGGATGCTGGGCATGAAAACAAGAACACCGCCTGAGACATCCCCACAAACTGGCCGCGAACGGACCCGTGAAACACCCCTGGCGGCTTCCCTTAGGAGTGCTCAAACCAGCGCCTCGCCTGAGACATCCTCAACATCTGCTCTGAAAGCCAAGGATGTTGGGCATGAAAACGAGCAAACCGCCTGAGACACCCCCACAAACTGGCCGCGAACGGGCCCGTGAAAACACTCCTGGCGGCTCCCCTCTAGGGGTGCTGAAACCAGCGCCCCGCCTGAGACATCCTCAAAATCTGCTCTGAAAGCCAAGGATGCTGGGCATGAAAACGAGCAAACCGCGTGAGACATCCCCACAAACTAGCCTCGAACGGGCCTGTGATATACCCCCTGGCGGCTCCCCTTAGGGGTGCTGAAACCAGCGCCCCGACTGACACATCCACCAGATCTGCTGTAATCGCAGACGATGTTGGGCATGAAGACGAGCAAACCGCCTGAGACATCCCCACAAACTGGCCGCGAACGGGCCTGTGAAAACACCCCTGGCGGCTCCCCTTTGTAGTGCTGAAGCCAGCGCCCCGACTGTGACATCCTCCAAATCTGCTGTAGACGCAGACGATGTTGGACACCGACACAGGCAAACCGCTTGAGACATCCCCACGAACTGGCCGCGAACGGGTCCTTGATATACCCCCTGTCGGCTCCCCTTTAGGAGTGCTCAAACCAGCGCCCCGCCTGAGACATCCTCAAAATCTGCTGTCGACGCAGACGATGTTGGGCACCGAAACAGGCAAACCGCCTGAGACATCCCCACAAACTTGCCGCGAACGAGCCCGTGATATACCCCCTGGCGGCTCCCCTTAGGGGTGCTGAGGCCAGCGCCCGCCTGAGACATCTTCAATATCTGCTCTGATAGCCAAGGATGTTGGGCATGAAAACGAGTAAACCGCCTGAGACATCCCCACACTGGCCGCGAACAGGCCCGTGAAAACACCCCTGGCGGCTCCCCTTGCGAGTCTGAGTATGACTAGGTCTGAGTATGAGTAGGTCTCAGTCCGTGCGTTGAGTAACTCGGATTAGGAGAAGGTCTGAGTATGTGTAGGTCTGAGTATGAGTAAGTCTGTGTATGAGCAGGTCTGGGAACGAGTCTGGGTATGAGTAGGTCTGGGTATGAAGGAGTCCCAGCATGAGTATGTCTGAATACGAGTAGTCCTGAGTAAGTCAGACCATGAGAAGGTATGAGTATGAGTAGGTCTGTGTATGAGTAAGTCTGTGTATGTGTACGTCTGGGTATGAGTAAGCCTGAGTATGAGTAGGTCTGAGTATGATTATGTCTGTGCATGAGTAAGTCCGTGCATGAGTAAGTCTGGGAATGTGTAAGTCTGAGTATGAGTATAAGTCCGAGAGGAGGGGAGGAGAAGAAGAGGGAGTAGGAGGCGTCCAAGTGATGCCAATAACCCCATCTCAGGATATGGGAAAGCATAGTCAACAACAGAACGGGGACTATTTGTTTTAGTATGTTTGAATCGCTTTTGCGCACTTTTTGACTGTGTCTCATTTTTCGGCGACAGCCCCCCTCAAGCCAAGTCAAGCCAAGCCGTCGGAGCCTGAGCCAAGCCGTCGGAGCCTGAGCAGGGCCTGTTCAGGCGGCCCTGCACGCGGCGAGGGGGCTGCGCGGGGAGGCCAGGAGACACCCGCGGCGGTGCGGTCCGAGGCCGCGCTCCCCGGCCCCGGGGCGCTGGCCCCATGGCCGCGCTCCTCGGAGAGAACGCCGGCCGGTGGCGCCGAGGGAGCAGGGAGGGCGGGCAGCGGGGAGGGAGGGAGGGCGGAGGGAGAGGGTGGAGGAGGCGGGGTGGAGGAGGGAGTAGAGGGGAGGAGGAGGAGGAGGAGGAGGAGGAGGAGGAGGAGGAGGAGGAGGAGGAGGAGGAGGAGGAGGACGAGGAGGACGAGGTGGTGGTGCATGGTGGGGGGGGGGGCAGGATGGTGAGGGAGGGCGGAGGGGCATCGGAGCATGGGAGAAGGGAGAAGTCATCAGGGAGGAGCGAGGAGTGGGACGAGGGGGAAGGAGGGGGGAGGAGGGGCCAGATGGGATGGCTCCAGGATAGGGCGGGGGGGTGCCACGTGCTCCCCGCGAGTCCTCCGCTCGCCCCGCCTGCCTCGGCGCGGCGCCGCCGGCCCCGCGCAGGTGAAGACCGTGAGAGACGCCACGAAGACCGCCCTGGACTCCATCCGGACGCCGCACTCGGTGGAGAAGAAGGTCGAGGCCCAGAACATCAAGGGGCGCATTCAGGGCGCGCGCCCGCGCGCCCGCCCCCCTCGGCACCGCAGGCCTCTCCGGGAAGCGCGGGCGGGCCTTGGCTGCGCGGCCGGGCGCGGCCGGGCAGGTGGGGCCCAGAGAGTGCGCCGCCGGGCTGCCCGAGGGCGCGCATGGGGGGGGAGGGGCAAGCGTCCTGGCTCGCCTATTACCCTACCGAACAATGTTCTAAGAACCTTTTGTGTGGTTTCCACGGAATGTTCTTAAAACATTTCTGGCGGAGCCTGCTTGTTTTTTCACATCGGGTCTATGTTCTAAGAACATTGTTTTGGTTCTTGGAACATTTCTGGGTTCTACGAACATTTCGTGGTAGGACTATAGGAATGCCGGGACGGTCGGTCCCTGCTCAACAAGGAGGGTTGAAGGGCGAGCCCGGCTTGTGTCAGGCGATCGCAAGCATCGATCCAGGGGGCGTGGATTCGCGACGGGCCCCGTTTCCATGGGAAGTCGCGGATGTCCGCCGCCGAGCGAGGCGGCACCGGCTGCGTTTTGGGATAGGGCACCTCCCCCGATCCATGGTTCTGGCGACCGCGCGCCAAATCCATGGATTGCTGATCCATGTTTGCGCGCCCCCGATGGAAGGGCGAGCCCGGCTTGTGGCCGCTGCTTCCATCCCACAGGGGGCCGCCCCGGGTGGGGGCGCCAGCAGCGCGCGTCTGCGCCCGCCCTCCTGCAGCCTCTCGTGCCCCCACCGAAGCCCCCAGGGTCCGTAGGGTTCCAGGCTGTCTCGTCCAGAGAATCGCAGACATGGACCAAGGCGCGTGGGCTCGCGACGGGTCCCGCTTTCCGTGCACATTCGGCGCTTCGTCTCCAAGTCGGTGGGCATTGGCGCCAGCTTTCGCCCCGATCTGTGGGTCTGGCGCCTGCGCGTGCGCGCCAGCTTCTGGCGCCTGCGGGCCACAGACAATGAATCGTCGGTTCCCCGGAAAACACCGGAAAATTTTGGGAAGGGGGAGGACGAAAATCAAATAGATGTGACAATTTGGGGAATCCTTGGAGAGTGTCCCAGGGCCCCTTCAATGTTTCGACAGGCCCTGCCCATGGCGTCGGCGACTCTGGGAGTCACAGCCCTAGCAACGCGAAGGCGGCCAGGAGCGACCGTCGCAGGTCGGTTCGGGGTCCAAGAGACGGGGCTCAATGCCAACGGGGTCAGTCAGAGCGCCGGATCTTGCAGGATCCTGCAGAGCCAAGTGCACTGGCCCCAGCTTGGTTGCAGGATCCTGAAGGATCCTGCAAGGCCTGAGTGACCCGGGCTTGGGCTGACCTGGGTCAGCACGTCCCCGACTCGTTTCCCCCTTCGGTCTGGGTCAGGGGCTGCGGCTCGCAGGCCAGAGGGAGCTCGAAGCCGTGCTCTGCCTGAACGACGCGCTTTTTGGTGCGACAGGGATCGTCGATGCTGGATGCAGAAATGCTGTGTCGGCGTGCGCCCGAGTCCCTCGGTGTCACACGTTCCGCGGCGGCGCCCGCGTGCCGCAGCAAGGCGCGGCCGCCTCGCGCCCGCGCCCTCGGTCTGGCCGCGCGCGGCCGCCCCTTCGCGCAGTGCGCGCCGCTGCGCGATGTGGACTGCTGCTCGTTCCGGCCACGTCGCGCTGGTCAACACGCTCGTGAGGTCGGGTGCTGCCAGAAGTGCCCTTGGCCCAAGGTGTCCCCAGGAGTTCCACGGAGGCCTCCGCGGCCTCCAGCGCGCACCTTGCGAGGCCCAGGGGGCCCCAGGCGGCTCCAACATGGAGCGAAAGGGGTGAATTGGCGGCTAGCCCAGTGGGGAAGTGAGAGGGGGCAGGCCTTCTAAGAAGGCGACGGGGCTTCTCAGAAGCCGTCGCACCTTCTGATAAGTTTTCTTAAGTCTTCTCCGAAGGCATGCAGTGAGCGGCTTGAAAAAGGAAGACTTAATTTTCAAAAGGGGCTCGGTCGTTCCTTGGGCTTGCATGCGTTATTAATCGTTCCTTATGCGTTCTATATTATGTATCGTTCCTTCTGCGTTACTCCCTGGAAGAATAGGCTTCGTTGCTTACTTATGTATCGCTCCTTAGGTCAGGCCGATGACTGTAGACGGCTTCTCAGAAGGCCGGGGCGCTTCTGAGAAGCCTGGCTGCCTTCTGAGAAGGCCTGCCCCCTCTCACTTCCCCCCTGCGCTCGCCGCCCAGGGATGCTATCCCGATGGGCCCGCACCGCTGGCGGGCAGTTCGGCCCCATCGGCCGCAGCCGGGCGTTCGCCGCTGCCCTGCGTGCGTGCGTGCTGCCGCCCGGGTGTCTCCGTTCAGTATCGTTTAATCGACCCCCATCCCCGTCCCCATCCCCTTCGAGACCCCTACAAAATTGCCACCCGAGTTGGGGATACACCCCTCGAAACCCGAAGGGACCTGCCTATATCCCCATCTAATAGGGGGGTAAATCGGCCAGTGGGGCCCAGGCCACGCCGCTGGGGATGGGGATCGGCCAAACGATACTCATCCGTGCCGCCTGTTGCTGTGTGTGTGTGTGTGTGCTGCCGCCTGGCGTGTGTGCGGATGCCCGCTGCTGGATGATCCGGCTGCTCACAGCAAGTCCCGCCACGGTGCGCGGGTATGAAGCCCATTGGATGTTCGTTGGGATCTCGCGGGAGGCGTCTCGGGTGCCTCTTGGAGGCAGCTTTGAGGCCCTTGGGGGACCGTTTTGGGGCCTCTTAGGGCCTCTTTCGGGCCTCTTGGGGGCCTGTTGGGGCCTCTTAGGGGCCCCTTGGGCGCCTCTTGGAGCCTCCTGTAGGCCTCTTGGGGCGGAATGCTCGGATTTCCGGTTTGTGTTCCCTCTCGTGGGCCCTTTTGGGGGCCGTCTTGGGGCCCTCTTGGGCCGTCTTGGGCGCCTCTTGGGCCGTCTTGGGGCGCTCTTAGGCCGTCTTGGGACCCTCTTGGAGGACCCTTGGGCCGTTTTGGGGTGCTCTTGGGGGCCTCTCGGGCCGTCTTGGAGCGTCGGAAAACCGAAAAGGCGAGAATGCCAAAATCTTTCAAACATTTGAGGAACATCCATGTGTCTTACCTCTTGGGGCCCTCTTGGAGGCCTCTTGGGCTATCTGGAGGCCACCTGGGGCGTCTTCGAGCGAGCATTCGGCAACCCGGAGCCCTCTTGGACCGTCTCGGGGGCCTCCTGGGCCGTCATGGAAGCCTTGGAGAGCCCCAGGGAGGCGTCATGGCCGCCCAGGGACCCCTCGGGAGCAGCGGGGGTGCAGGTGACAGTCCGTGTCCCGCGGAGGGGTTGGGCCCCCGAGAAGACCACAGAGACCCTGCCAGCGAGCGCTTGGCATCCTTCCACGCCCCAGCGTGCAGCGGGCGCGGTGGCGGCCTCCTGCTGGTCCCGACGTGTCGGCCTGCAGGCTCCTCTGCCTGCGGCGCGCCGCCCTCGGGGCGGCCCGAGGCCGCCTGGCGCGCCCCTCGCCCGTCGCCTCTCCACGGCCTGGCTCCCTCCTCCCTCCTCCGCGGCCGCCCGCGGCTCCTCCCTCCTCTTGGCATCGCTCAGACGTGTGCGTTTTTTCCTCGGCGAGGAGCATCGAGGAGCATCCTTGATCAGTTGGCGAAAAAACCACGCACGAAACCGAAGAAAACACAGGGAATGGACGTCCGAGCGATGGCCAGTCCTCGCTCCGCGCGCCCCGCGCCCGTCGCGCCCCGCCGGCCTCGAGCTCCACGCCTGCCTCCGCCCGCGCCGCCGAAGCACAAGAGTGCGCGGGCCTGCTCGTGCACTTGCCTGCCGCGGCCTCGCGCCCGCCGAGCGAGCCGTGCGCTGGTGCGTTCTCTCGAGTGTGCCGCCCCCGGCTTGGGTATGGCCAGGACCCCGGGTAAGGGGACCCGGTTGTTGGTAGGGCGCCGGAGCCCTCGAATTGGCCAGAATCACTAAACCAGGTCCGCCATGGCCGGTGTTTCTTCGGGTGGCGGCAGTTCCGCTGAGTGGAAATGGGACGGGGGGGCGCCCCCGGTACAGATCGCTAAACCAGGTTCCATTATAAACCCAGTTCTGCCAACGCCCGACGGGCCGCTCGTCGCCGCCGGCCGCCGCCGTCTGCCGATCGGTCTCCCCGGCCTGCCGTGCGTCCCCGCGCAGGCGGCCCTGCGCACGTGCGGCCGAGCCGCCCGGCGCGCTCGCTCGGCAGCCCGCCGGGCGAGTCTGCCGAGGGTGCCCGCGGCTCGCCCCCAGACGGAGTGGTGACTTGGCATCGCTGGGACGTGTGCATGTTTTCTCGGCGAGAAACCGCGAGGACCATCCTGGACCATCGAGGAGAAAAACACGCGCGAAAGCGAACCATGCACGGGAAATGGAGGTCCGAGCGACGGCAAGGTGGCCACACCGTGTGGGGAGTCGGTGGGGCTGCGGGGTCGCCGCACGGTTTTGGGACCCGGGTCTCCGAGGACGTTTCGGGCGACCGGGGCCTCCGAGGTCCCAAGACCGTGCGCTGATGGACCGTGCGGTGAGGCCTCCTGGGGTTCCGAGGTCACCGCACGGTCTGTCACCACACCGTTCCGGGACCACAAAGATGGTGGTGTATAAAAATCGGCCTCGCAAAAGAGTGTCAGTATTCCAGATTTCGTAATAAAAGGGAGGGGGTTTGGACCCTCCAAGACAAGCCATTTCAGACCTCCCCCGTGGAAGAACCCTCCAAAACATCGTCCCCAGACCCCCCAGGCCCTCCAAGATAGCCTGCAGGAGCCCCCCCCCCCGAAATGAGACCCCCCTCCCTTTATTACGAAATCTGCAGTGTCTTTCAACTGATCCCCACCCCCAACGGGTCATGGGATCCCAGCCCCACCACCCCACGGCCCCAGTTGGGGATGTGGCCCTCGAAGCCCGCAAGGGGACGGCCCAGATCCCCACGGGATCGGCCTGCAGGGCCCAGGCCACGCCAGAGGGCAGGGATCGGCGGAGCGCTGCTCCGAGCGGGCTCGTGCCGGCGGCCCCGGCGTGGGCCTGCGCGCGCGCTGCCGAGTCTCGGGCGGGGCGAAAGGGGGGGGAATGGGAAAGGGGGGGGTACGAAATCTGCTGCATGCAGCTGGTTTCGGCCCCACCGAGGGGCCCATTCCTCGATACATGGCCGCTTCCGGCGCCGGGAGGCGCCGGGAAAATCAGCTACGTGAGCTGATTCTCACCCCCCCCCCCTTTGCTATTCCCCCCTTTCGCCCGACCCGAGTTGGGTCGGCGGCCCGTCGAGCGGATCTGCCGCGGGTGTTCGCGGCCCGCCGAGTGGGCTCGTGTTGGGGTCGCACGTTGTCGCAGTCGCGGCTCGATGCAGCGTGCGATGTGTGGCGGGGCACCAGCCCTCACTCCCTCGCCGCTCTGCCCTCTCCCCTCTCCCTTGCTCTTGCTCCTCCATCGCCCCCTTCTCCTTCTCTCAAACCACCGTCCCCCCATGTTTTCTTGTATTTTTGTTTGTGTGTGTGTTTGTGTTATCTCTATCTCTCTCTCTTGTTTTTTTTTGTTCTCTCTCTCTCTCTCCCTCTCTCGCTGTATACATATATATATATATATATGTATATATAGATATATGTACATAGACTCGTCGCTCTCTCTCCCTTTCTCGCTATATCTTTTTTTTGTTTCTCTCTCTCTCTCTCTCTACACCTGATTTGCATTATCCCTCTGTCGATCGGTCTATCTCTATCCCTTTCCTCCTCATCCCTTCTCCCCTTTCTTACTACCGACGCAAGAGGAAGTGTGGTTGAGGCGGGGTCAGCGAGAGAAGGCGGGACAACCATGTGGATGAGAATTGTTGTGATGATGCTTGTGATGAAGAGGACGATGACGATGACAATGACGACGATAATGTTGATGGCGATGATGCTGATGATGATGCTGATGATGGCGATGGCGATGATGAGGTTGATGATGATGGTGATGGTGATCGTGACGAAGATGATGCTGTGGACGAGGATGATGATGATGGTGATGATGATGCTGGTGATGAGGTTAGTGTTGATGGTGGTGGTGATGATGGTGATGGTGATGATGATGATTGTGATGATAATGATGATGATGGCTACGACAGCTACGATGATGATAATTGTCGTGCGAACGGTGGTGATGATGTTGATGACGACCACGTCGGCGACGAAGACGGTGGCGATGCGGATGGTGATGATTAAGTTGTGGATTAGGATGACGTGGATGAGTCCGATGATGATGCTGTGTGAATGATGATGATGATGATGATGATGTCGTTGATGCTGGTGGTGTTGATGATGGCGATGATGATGGTGATGATGATGCTGGTGGTGGTGATGGTGATGATGTTGGTGATGATGATGATGGTGATGATGATGATGATGGTGCTGATGGCAGCGACGACGACGATGAAGATGATGATGGTTATGCGAATGATGATGATGATGCTGCTGCTGTTGATGTTGATGATGCTGATGACGACGACAATGATACTTATGATGAGGATGATGATGATGATGATGATGATGATGATGATGATGATGATGATGATGTTGCTGATGTTGCTGACGATGAGCATGTTGATGATGCTGATGATGTTGCTGATGCTCATGATGCTGATGATGAGGATGGTATTCCTGGTGCTGTTGATGTTGAAAATGGTTAAGATGCTAATGATGATGACTACGACGACGGGAAGGAGGAGTAGTAGAGGGACAAAAGAGGGATCTGACGACGATGGTGGTGGTGAAGAGGAGGAGAAGGAGGGGCATGATGAGCAGGAAGCAGAGCAGGAGGAAGAGGAGGAGGAGGACCACCTTTCTTGCTTCGGGTAGGGGAGTGGTGAGGGGTGAGCGATCACGCATGCCAGAGATCCCATGATTCGGGGAGTGTTGTAGAAGATATTTGCTGACCGACACCGAGGAACACAGAAAGGCAGAGAGAGACAGCGTTGTCAAAAGATCGATGCAGCGGCTGTTGCCCGTAGCCATTTGCGCCGAAGAAGGCTAAGGATAATTCACAGTCTGAGCTCACACCTTCCGGCGCTTTGGCACCATGGCCAGCAACGAGCCTCTGCTCCAGAAGCCTGCTGCTTCAAAGCGCGCGAAGCTCTCCGTGCTGTACGGCGCAGACGAGTACCTTGAGGAGCTAAAGCGGAAGTACGAGGTCGACCACGAGATTGCCAGCTTGAAAGCCATAATGCCGGATCAGGGTGACCCTAACGCTGGGAAGGCCAAGGGGGGCGAAGGCAAGATGCTCACGATCGAGAAAGACGACGCCAATAGGAGCAAGAAGACTGGCCGCCTGTTCCCGACTCCGAACAAGCCAGATCCGATGCCACCTGAGCTCGCGTTCCTGTTCACGAAGATCACGCCAGAGCAGATGATGTACATGTGGAACATACTGACGCTCATTTTCGTGTCCCAGTGTGCGATGGTAGTGGCCTACTGCGCCGCTCTGGCCTGCTTTCCAGACTACTGGTGGACGTGCACGGTTACCTTTGGCGTCCCCTTCGCATACATCGCCATCCAGAACATATACATTGATCACGATGTAATGCACGGGGCCACGTTCCCCCCTCATGACTGGCAAGAGTACATCACGCATCCCTTCAGTGATTTCTTCTCACTGCCCTGGAAGGAATTCGTGCTCGAGCACAACCGTCACCACGCGAGCACTGTAGACCTCCTGCAGCAGGGCGAGTTCGGGTGGGATCCCGAGGAGTTTCAGTACTGGCTGCTTGAGTGGACATGGAGGCACGGGAAGTACCCCTTCCCTATCCATCCCTTCGGGCTTCTGCTCACTGGCGCGCTGCTGCCGCTCGTTCACTTCTTCGGCCTGAACGATACCGGAGCCCTCTTCGCGCTGGAGTGGTACCTGCACTTCCCCGACGAGGGTGCGGGAGGCAAGTGCAACAAGGAGTTCTGGAAGAAGTGGCTGCCGCGCCGCGCGTCCCACTCGCTCTTCGTCGCCAGCCTGTGGGCCTGCGTCTGGCTCCTGGGCACTTGGCCGCTCGGCCGTCCGCTCGGCGAGGGGTGGCGCTTCATGCTCACCGTGTCCTTCTGCGCACGCTGCGGCTTTTCAGCCGCGTGGATGTTCATCACCAACTTCACCCACTCGCACCCGTGGAACCACTTCCTGGCGAGGGACCCCGAGAGGACCTGGCCCGTGCTCCACGACGTCATGGCTTTTGTGCTGGGCGGCAAGCACCGCTGGAACGAGATGCTCTTCCACGACCTCCATCACGCGTTCCCTAATGCGGTGGGCACGCTGAGCCAGCGCGGCCGCTTCCACGGGTGGCAGAAGGTCCACGATGCCGCCGTGGAGGTGCTGGCCCGTGGTCTGTGGAAGGCCAACGGCGACGCGGAGACGGAGATGCAGAAGACGCAGCGCAAGCGATCCCTGCTGATGAAGAACAACAGGAATCGGGGAAACGTCAGACTCGAGTAAGCCGGAAACGCGGGTTTGCCGACGTTTTTCGACGAGCGCGTCCTCGATTTTGACAGTCCAGTTTTCGTGGGATGTTCGCAGCGGGAGTTCGCGTCAAAATTCAGATCGGGTCTCGTCATTTTTATGATGGCCCCGTCAGGCCACCCCGAGTTCCCCGTACCCGAGTCTTACGTCTCCCCGAAGGAAGTGAGGCCTTGAAGTGCGGCGCAGGTCGTGCCGGCTTTGATTTGTCGCATTCGTGGACTGGGACAGCGCGCTGTCAGGGCAACACGCTCCAGCTCTCATCCGAGTCGGCTGCCGCGCTGCGGAGCATTTTTTCAGACTCAGAGACGCGTGGTTTCAGAGTCTCAGCTTTCCTGTGAAGCTAGTGCTGCAGGGGCTCTTCCTGGCTGCGACACTGGGCCCTTCCGTCCCCTGGCCTGTAATGCCGTGTCACACCGTGCGGTCTGCAGGGCTTTTTCTGTTGCAGCGCGTAATTCAGGCAGGCGGCCAGCTCCCTTACAGTACCAGTGCAGCGCTGGAGGACCGGCCCCTTGGG